GAAAGGAAGGAAGGAAGAAAGAAAGAAAGAAAAAGAGAGAAAGGGAGAAAGAAAGAGAAAGAGAGAAAGAAAAAGAAAGAAAGAAAGAAAGAAAGAAAGAAAGAAAGAAAGAAAGAAAGAGAAAGAGAGAAAGAAAGAGAGAGAAAGAAAGAAGCCAAGTCTTTAAGACCTAGTATCAAGTCCTAGGAAGGTAAAGAGTAATGACTCCTGAATTTCAATCTTGACTTCTTCCCTGACAACAATAGGAACAAAGTTCTTTCCATTTACTTGACTAGGGAATTAATTCCCAGGGGATAGAAAAAACTTCTAGGAGGTAGAACAGGCTTGGGCGATTTTTTTATGAAAAAAGAGTAAATTTAAAACAAGTTTCTTGATGCACTCCACCACCACCTCAGAATTTTTTCTCACAAAGGGAAAATTTAATACCTTTATCTTTTGTAAAAAATTAATGCATTCTCATTGTAAAAACGTAAACGTGACAAAATGCATAAAGAGTACAAATCCTCTTTGACGACCCACTTCCTACTCTGCCCTCCAGAGTCTGGTGCTTAACCAACTGAGCCCCCCAGGCACCTAAGTGGTAAACTCGTTTAAATGATTATTAATGTCCTAACACTCTGCTCTATTTTTTAATCCCTATTTAAAACTTTGATAGTGTCTCATTTGCTTTGTTGTACTTTTTCCTGAGAAAACCTAGAAATGTTCATTTGTCTCTGTATTTAATTGGCAAAAACTTAATGGTCTATGATGTGTCAAGCCCTGGGTAAGACCCTGAATTAAAATGAATAGAGAAGTCTGTCACCACATTGACAGTCTGGAAGAAACAGATCAGTACACTCAGAAGTGGTAAGGGAAAGAAATGCATGAGACGCTATGAAAGCATAGTGGCTGGGTACCTAAAGAAACAGGAGGGGGTGCCTGGCTGGTTCAGTTGGTTAAGCATCTGACTCTTGATTTTGGCTCAGGTCATGATCTCTGGGTTGTGGGATCAAGCCCTGAGTTGGGCTTCCTGCTCAACAGGAAGCCTGCTTCTTCCTCTCCCTCTCCCCTGCTTCTATTTCCTCTCTGCCTGTGTCTCTCTCTGTCAAATACATAAATAAAATCTTAAAAAAAAAAAAAACAAACAAGAAACAGGAGAGAGCAGACAGGCTTCTGAGCATATGTAAAGAGTGGGGGAGCATCCAAAAAATAAATAAGAATTCATCAATAGTCACAAGGAGGAAGGGCATTCCACACAGAAGGAATAACAAATCTGTGAAGCATTGGGGTACCTGTGGAGAACTGTGGTCAGTTCTCTGTGGCTGCAGTGCGGGTGATATGGAGATGGAAGGCCAGAGAATTAGGTAGAATGCGGTGGAGGTGGAGGGTAGGGGAAGGACCTTGTGCTGAGGAGTTTGGATTTTATCCCGAAGGCAACTGGAAACCACCAAAGGGTGATGAGCAGATGTGTGACATAAAATTTGTATACCTGATGGATTATTTTTTGGCAATGATGGAAGATAGCTTAGGTGAGACTAGAGGCAGAGACAATTTAGAGCCAGTGGCAGAAATCCAAGTGACGAGTCTAGAAGACCTGTACAAGTGAATACGGAGCCATGTTAAGTGAATGAAAGAGGATGGAATTAGCTCTTCAGCACAACTGAGGCCACTGTGGTTGAATATATGCTTGACACTTCATGCTTACTAAGTTTTCAGTACTTATTATTAATATTTTAGTCTATTGTTTTCTAGAGTATTAAAAAAAATCTATTCTTAAATTTCATCTGCAGACAGGGGCACCTGGGTGACTTCGTTGGATAAGTGTCTGACTCTTGATTTTGGCTCAGGTCATGACCTCAGGGTTATGAGACAGAGCCCCGAGTTGGACTCTGCTGGCCATGGAGCCTGCTTAAGATTCTCTCTCCCTCTGCTTTCCCCTACCTGCCATCTCTCTTTCTCTCTCTCCCTCTCTAAAACACACACTCACACACACACACTGATCTGAGGGCAATGTTTAGGCAACAGTATCCTTTTTAGATTGAACCAGGCATCCAAAAAACAAGCAAACAAACACCTCTTTATAAACAAAATAAAAAGACTAATAGAAATAGAAATATTTTCAACGTCTATGTTGCTCTTATACAAATTATTAGGATTGAAAAAAAACAGCCCTATTTATATGGGTAAGCTCTTTAAAAATTAAGAAATAAAAAATCCAAAATGCAGATGAAAAAATTTAGCTTCACTGATTTTGAGAAAAGACAGATTAAAACAATGAGATACCACCTTCATTTATCAAACTGGCAAAGGTTTTTTTTTTTTTAAATGGGACCTGGGGCACCTGGGTGGTTAAGTCAGTTGAGTGTCTGACTCTTGGTTTCGTCTCAGGTCATGATCTCACAGTTGTGGGATCAAGCCCCACTGTGGGCTCTGTGCTCAGCATGGAGTCTACTTCAGATTTTCTCTCCCTCTCCTTCCCACTCAGTCTCTCTCTCAAATAAATACAATAAATAAAATCTCTTAAAAAAAATGAGACCCAATATTGACAAGAGTATTGTGTTTTGTCAAATGGTCGATTTACACACTGAGGAGTGTGAATTAATCCAATGCTTTGCAGAGCAATTTGATAATATGAATTTAAAATTTCAATCAAAATAATTAACAATAAATAAATAAATAAAATTTCAGTCACGTTAATACATTTGATCCAATAATTCCACCTTTACAACTTTTGTCCTATGAAAGCAATCAGACGATGTTTTTCGGGACATGTATATAAGGGTATTCATTGAATTAGTATAAATAACAGCTTCGGTAGAACATTTTTTGAGCGTCCACCCAGCTCATAATGACTGCTTTTATGGGCTACT